AGAACCGGGTTTTTTGGAAATGCTCATTGAACTGCTCACAAGCGATGCTCAGCAAACGGTAATTTTGCAACTAATTGTTGAAATTTATGAATACTTAGAAATTCTACGTCAGAAATTCTACGCAAAGAGGAGGACGAAGAATGGGAAACGAAGTAGAGGGGGAAAGTTTGTTAAATCGGGTGGCTGCACACGACTTTTTTGTTTTCATAGAATGGGTGGAAAGAAGAAGGAAGTGTGCTTTTGTTTTTTGCCATAGATAGCCGGGGTAGGAAGAGGGCTGAAATATTGCTTGATTCCAGAGTACTGTTATAGTGAGGATGGAGGGCAGCTCAAATGTTGTTAGGAGCTCGAGGTGAGAACTAGCAACAAAAAGAAAAAAAGTACTACAAAAAATAAACTAAAATAAGCGTGAGCGCACGAATAAAAGCAAAATCCAAAAAAAAGTGAACTTATGAGTGAAAGCAAAAAAAAACTGAGTCTGTGGAAGTGGACATTGTCCTATAAAAACCTGTCGTTAGTAGGGACTTCCCCATTTATGAAGCTGATGACTCTCTCTCTTCGCCCCCTGTTCTCACATTTGCTGCCTTCCACTTTTATCAGCCAACTTTTGCTAGGTTTGCTTTTGCAGTAGCAGTTGGATATGATTAATGCCTTTTTGGCTAAATTTTTTCACCGTTTTATCAGTCAGACTGTTGCCTAATGGTATTTCTAGGTGCTAGTTGAGCCGGCTTCGGGCGTGCTGAAATATGCGTCAATGTATTTGGCTGTAGTTGGTTCGGATCGTTACTTGTCGTCCAGTGCTCTTCGCCTATTGATCCATCGTCTGGTCGAATTGCTTAACAGCCCCTCATTCACAATAATTGGCAACGTGCTGGGAGTGTTCTCGCAACTGCTAGCAAAGGATCACCAGCTACGTTCACTTGTTCTGTTAGTTCATTTTCAAATAATTATTTAGCTTTATTTTTATTTTTTCATATTCCATCTTTTTTGCACATTTTAATTTACACCACAGCTATTCTGATGACGAGTTCCATTTGCAGTGCTGAGCTAAGATATCCATGATTTAGTGGTCCGAAATGTCTTTTCTCATCATTTTCCTACCATCTTAAGCGCTGCTAGTTTTTTTTGTTCATCCAATTTTACTGTAACGTTTCATTATGTAATGATTGTAATTTCCAACAGCTACGGCATTATTTTTACTTTGCAAGCTCCGTGTTACTTTTATTTGAAACAGCTACTTTATTACTGGTTATCTCCTTCCTAGCCGAGGAATGTTTCTTGCCATAAATGCAGCCGACAAAATCTTTTTCCACGCCAGATTATTTTTGTTTTGTTCGTTAGATTTCTTCATTGAACATCATCTTCGTTAGATTTCGTTAGATTCATGACATTTCTCATTCATGTAACTCTGTAGCTTTTTTTATAAGCAGGGCCACATTTGTTTAAACTTGGTACTTGGA